TAGCAGAGAGCATGCATAGTTCCATTGTATGAAGGGAGAGGGGACAAAAGAGAGTGCAAAAATTATAGGGGAATAAGTCTGTTGGTAAAGTGTATGGTAGAGTTATTATTGAAAGAATTAAGAGTAAGCAGGAGAGTAGGATAGCAGATGAACAAGGAAGCTTCAGGAAAGGTAGGGGGTGTGTAGACCAAGTGTTTACAGTGAAACATATAGGTGAACAGTATTTAGATAAGGGTAAAGAGGTTTTGTAGCATTTATGGATTTGGAAAAGGTGTATGACAAGGTGGATAGAATGGGGCAATGTGGCAGATGTAGCAGATCTATGGAATAGGAGGAAGGTTACTGAAAGCAGTGAAGAGTTTTTATGAGGATAGTGAGGCTCAGGTTAGAGTATGTAGGAGAGGAGGAGATTATTTCCCAGTAAAAGTAGGCCCTAGACAAGGATGGGTGAAGTCACCATGGTTGTTTAATATACAGTGGTTCCTCATATTTCATAATTAATCTGTTACAGACAGTGTGACTATTATCAAAATTGACGATTTGCGAAACCATTTTCCCCATAAGAAATAATGTAAATCAAATTAATTCATTCCGGACACCCAGAAATATCAACAAAAAAAAATTTTTTTACCTTAAAGATAGATTTATATGCACAAAAGAATGAACATTCACCATGACACTTACCTTTATTGAAGGCTGTTGTTGATGGATGGAAGACAGGGAGAAGGGGAGAGGGAAGAGAGGTTATTGTTTGGAAGGGGAATCCCCCTCCATAAGGACTCTAGGTACCAAGTCCTTATCAGGGGTCACTTCCCTAGCTTAAATATAGATTTACATGCAGAAAAGAATGACAAATAAATGTAAAGCACTAATAAAATGTATAAATGAACATTTAACATCACACTTAACTTTATTGAAGACTCTTGTTGGTGTATGGCAGAGGGAGGGGAGATGAGTTTATTGTTGGAGAATGACACTAATGTCAACTCATTGGCTTATTTATCTATCACAATTCAACTAATATGACATAATAAACAATATTAATAACATAGAAACATGGAATATACTCTAGAATGAATAAAATACATCGTTATGTATGTCACGACTTGTGTTGCTGTTGGGTGCATAAGAGCCACTGAGAGCATAAGCCGTACATAATGTTGGTGAAGGTTGTAGCTGAGACGGCATTGTTTTCTGTACCCCTGTGTAACTCCAACACTATTGGAGGAGTTTGTAGAATCACTGAAGAAGGCACCCTCTACCACCATCACTACCACTCTCTACCACCATCACTACCACTCTCTACCACCATCACTACAACCCTCAACCACCATCACTACCACCCTCTACCACCATCACTACCACCCTCTACCACCATCACTACTACCACTACCACCCTCTACCACCAACACTACCACCCTCTACCACCAACACTACCACCCTCTACCACCATCACAATTGCTACCACCATCACTACCACCCTCTACCACCACCACTTTCATATTTTTCTACAAACTTTTTCTTGAATTATATAGTTTCTCACATTCTTTACCAAAGGGCTGGCACTAGAAGCTTTCTTTGGAGCCATGGTAGCTGATTTGGCAGTTGCAAGCACTAAAATGAATGGAATATTATGAAATGTATCGCATGAACGCATGGGATCGTCCTCACTGATAAACAATGGCACACTGGCTGGGAATGGAGTGTGGGGCCGCTCAAGGTGTGCATACGCATTTGGGACAAACGACTATTTGCAAGTCAAATGACGATTTGTGAGTCAATGTTTTGACGAAAAAAGTTAGGATTTTCGAAAATTATGACTTCCAATGCTTACGAAAAACAAGGGACCACCGTATTTATAGATGGGATTGTAAGAGAAGTGAATGCTCGGGTGTTGGCAAGAGGTGTGGGGTTAAAAAATGAAGAATCTAGGAGTGGATTTGACAGCAGATGAATCATAGAATTGGTGAGGGGAAAAAGGTGAATGTTGCACTGAGGGGAATATATGAGAGAGTATAGTTATACCAACGCTTTTATTTTGTAACCTTTGTAAAAAGAAATAAACTTTTGTATTGTATTTGTAACAAGTAGGTACCTGGGTGTTAGTTGAGGGTGGCGTGCAGCTTTTTCGTTCAAAATCTTTATTTTTCAACCAATTTCTTTTATTTTTGGTGTACGTTTAGAAGTGCATATGTAAATGAATATGACAAAGTTTCAATAAGATTGGCCAACAGACAAACTGAGAAAAAATATTTACTGATTTTGACATACGGCAGCATGACACGACAAATTGGCACTACGAGTGACACTTTCCACAATCCTAACTGTTAGAATATGTCTAACATGAATTTGTAATGGATAAAATTCATCTAATATACCTTATTATTATGGTGAAAAAAATACATTTGGTGTGCTTTTTTGACATTCACCAAAATATATGCCTTTTACCCCCTAGAAAAACAAAAATATTTGAGATATTCCAAAAACTTTTCCATTCTCAATTCAAACACACTTTGTTTTATATATATTGTCTGTGAAAATCATTTCAATACAATCATCAATAATGGTGTACTGTTAAGCAATAGGCCAAAATCTTACTTTCGAGATATTCGGGTAAAAGTGCAGACTAGCTAATTACGTCAAGAAATAAAAAAAAAAAATCACGAAAATTGCGCTACTTTGGGTTTATTTATGCGATATAAGTGATTTCTTATTGTTTCCCATGTGTAGTACACTGTTTTCTATAGTGCTACCAGAGGTAACAAAGAAAACCCTTCTCTTATATTGAGGATCTGGGATAATCATTTCATGAAGGTCAGCCACCACCCTCTGGGTATAATATACAAATAATATTTTGGCTGGCTTTCTTATGTATTTATCCAAGTTATCTTATGCATACCATCATTACTGAATAAATGATATAAGCAGAAAAAGGATATTAGTAATAATAGCATCAGTATAAGACATCTTGTGAGTGGTGATCAGGTTGCTGTCATCGGCAGCTGGTTGTTGCATCATCATGCAAGTTCTTCCCACCTCTGCTGTAAGCCCCTCCCACATTGTAATGATATTAAGTGGTAAATTTAGTGTATTAGAAAAATATACAGAAAATTAAAAATCAAAAAATATGTAAAAAATTCACCTCACACTTACTCATATATTTACCTGGCAGGTCATCACCTGACATGTTTCAAGTAGTTATAATTTGCTTTAGAAACATCGTATTACGATAGGGTTTTCACCAAAATGTTGCCAGGTGCTTACACTATTTTTTCTGTAAACAAAACCCAAAATCATATTTTTTCACATAATTATCAAGACCACGAGAGATTTTGACCCACTGGCCCCTTGACTGATGTAGGTGGCATGCTGGGGAACAAGATTGAAGAACACCAGTGGAAATATGACACAGTTCTTGATGATGCACTAACTTTTTTGTGGTATCCTGGGTGGCAAATCCTCTGGGGTTAAAAATCCCAACAAGTCTGATCACAAGATGACTGATAGACTACCAGGGACCAGTTTTAGTACTATTACTAAACAACAGATAAGACTCAATCAAGAGTGCATAAGACATGTCCTGTTTTACAGTGCAACAAGAAGAAGTCAATACCACATTCAAAAACAAACCATCAAGCATCACCTATCAAAATACAGTGGACCCCCGCTTAACGATCACCTCCAAATGCGACCAATTATGTAAGTGTATTTATGTAAGTGCGTTTGTACGTGTATGTTTGGGGGTCTGAAATGGACTAATCTACTTCACAATATTCCTTATGGGAAAAAATTCGGTCAGTACTGGCACCTGAACATACTACTGGAATGAAAAAAGTTCGTTAACCGGGGGTCCACTGTATATTTCATTTAGAATGGTCTAATAAGTAAATTTTAGAATTAGTTTGCCCACAATGCTTTGTGTAGTAAGTAGGTGTCCTTCCAAAGTTATAGTTAAATCCATGTTCAGCTGTAGATAGTTTTTTAAAATTAGTTGATAAATATACTCTTGAGTACCTTTATTGACGAAAGGGTTTGCAAAACACTTCATCAGTACAATGCAAAGTCATGAAGATCAGAAATTTAAGGTAATCAGTCCCTCAACATGGAGTCAATGTAATCAGTCCATCAATCTGGAACAGAAGGCACTGGTTACCTAAAATTCCTTCAGATCTTCACTGCTACTGTTTCTATTGGACTGATGAAGCCACTGCATGGCAAAACTTTTTGTCTTTAAAGATACCTAAGTGTTGCACATGTTTAATATTTGATATTTAATGATAAATTTATCACACCTGCCATCACTACACACCTGCAACCACTACACTATGCACCTAACACCACTACACTACACACCTACCACCTTTACACTATGCACCTACCATCACTACACACCTAACATTTCTACAGTACACACCTACCATCACTGCAGTACACAGCTACCATCACTGCACTATACACCTACTGTCACTACACTACACACCTACTATCACTGCACTACACACCTATCACTGCACTACACACCTACCATCACTACACACCTACCATCAGAACACTACACACCTACCATCACTGCAGTAGACACCTACCATCACTTCACACCTCCCATCACTATACTACACACCTACCATCACTGCAGTACACACCTACCATTATTACACTACACACTTACTATCACTACCTTACACACCTACCACTACACTACATGCCTACCATCACTATACACACCTACCACTACATTACACATCTACCATCACTATATCCACACTACATATCTACCACCACTACACAGCTACCACCACTACACATCTTCCATCACTACACATCTACCACCACTACACTACCAATCTTCCACCAATACATTGTACATTTGCCATCATTACACAGCTACCACCAGTACACTACACATCTACCACTACACTACACTTCTACCACTACACTATAGATCTGCCACATATTTGCAAAACAAAACTTATAGTTTATAATATAAATTTATGTTTCAGGTGGTGAGAAAAATGTAACTGAGTCAGGCTCTTTCCAAAAAATGAGAGAGGAAGTGCTTGCGGACTTACTTTTATCTTCCACTGATGAGGATAGTAGCATTTGTAATACTACCACCTCCTCCGATATTCGTGGAGGAGAAATGATACTTGACCTCGTCTTTGGAAGTGAAAGTGAGACTAGTAGCTCTTCCTCCTCATTTTTTGGACTTAAACCTGACTCGTATGAAACTGAGAATTCTCTCTCCTCCATAGATATGGAGAAGACAGACTCTGAATAAAGAAAGGTAATAAAAAATCATCAGCCAATTCCCACTAAGGCAGGGTGGCCCAAAAAAGAAATTTTAACCGTGGGTTGCTTACACTACAGTTATAAAACTGCAGTATTAACACCCCTCTTTCAGAGTGCAGACACTGTACTTCTTATCTCCAGGACTTGAGTCCGGCCTGCCAGTTTCCTTGAATCCTTTCATATGTTACTTTGCTCACACTTCAGCATGACAAGTATTAAAACCATTTGTCTCCACTCCTATCAAATACGCTCACGCATGCTTGTTGGAAGTCTAAGCCCCTCACACACAAAACCTTTACCCCCTCCAACTTTTCCTAGGCTGACCTCTACCCCGCCTTCCTTCCACTACAGATACACGAAGTCATTCTATTTTGTTCTGTCCTCTCTACATGTCCAAACCACCTCAACAGCCTTTCCTCAGCCCTCTGAATAATAGTTTTGGTAATCCCACACCTCCTAATTTCCAAACTACAAATTCTGTGCATTATATTCACACCATATATTGCCCTCAGACATGACATCTCCACTGCCTCCAGCCTTCTTGTTGCAACATTTGCCACCTATGCTTCACACCCATGTAAGTGTTGGTATAACTATACTCTTGTACATTTCCCTCTTCACTTCCACGGAAAAAGTTCTTTGTCTCCACAGACTCCTGGGTGCATGTGAAGGCTTACTCAGCCCTGTAACAACTTCAGACAGTATTACCAAGGCTGGCTCCTCCTCAGGAAAATTAATGTATTGAAAAAGAATAAAAACTGACAAACATAAACACTTTATTATTTAGAAAATATAAAACACTTAAATATGAAGTATTAATCCTACATTAAAGAAAATGAAAAATGAAAAATATAAATAACTGAATTCAACGCTAATGTATATAAAACGTGGGTGTCTGGTGTTGGTGACACTGTGTGTTGTTGAAATCGTAGCCGTTGCTGATGATGGGGGGGGGTCGCAGGTGTTGATGACAACCCACCGGCTCGTTCTTCACAGATTTTCTAGCTTTCAATAATCCTTCCAGATGACAGGAAAGCAGGTTTTCTCCACTGCAATGATGAGGGGTTATATCCTGCTACTTGCATACACAAACAGGTAAGTGGATCAAAATTTGGGACATCTCAGAACGTTAGTCCGTCTCCTTCAATTCTACTCGTTGATTGGCAGGTGACCCTCTCTGTCATTCAAGCTGGAAAGATAGACAGGTTACCCACTGCTTAAGAAATCACTCTCCATGATAAGTACAATACCTAAAAGATGTGGTGATTATTACAACAGTCAACTTAGAGCAAGACTGAAAGGACTAAGTTTTATTATTGGTCAAAGGTGAACCTTTCAACCAATAAATCCACTAGAATACAAGGCAGGCATGTACTTACAGTAGTGCTGGGAGCTGTGAGTCTAGTGATTACTGTTTGGACCGGAGCCCCACACGTCACCTTTCGGAGGGGGGGGGGGAAGAAGAAAGGGAAGGGATAGCGGGAGCTAGACTGACCCTACCTTAACAAGCAGCCGGCAATCAAACTATCACTTTCGGGGTGGGGGGAAAAAAAGGCGGGAATAGCGGGAGCTAGACTTGCCTTACCTTAACAAGTAGCCGGCAAGCAAACTATCACTTTCGGGGAGGGGGAAAAAGGGGGGTGGGATAGCGGGAGCTGGACTTACCCTACCTTAACAAGTAGCCGGCAATGAAACTATTGTTACTACAGTGGACCCCCACATACCGTCGGCATCACATAACGTTTAATCCGCATACCGCTCGCTTTTATCGCAAAAATTTTGCCTCGCATACCGCTCAAAAACCCGCTCACCGCTGTTCGTCCGAGACGCTTCCAATGTGCGCCCTTAGCCAGCCTCACATGTGCCGCCGGTGGCATTGTTTACCAGCCAGCCTCCGCGGTAACATCCAAGCATACAATCGGAACATTTCGTATTATTACAGTGTTTTTGGTGATTTTATCTGCAAAATAAGTGACCATGGGCCCTAAGAAAGCTTCTAGTGCCAACCCTACAGCAATAAGGGTGAGAATTACTATAGAGATGAAGAAAAAGATCATTGATAAGTATGAAAGTGGAGTGCGTGTCTCTGAGCTGGCCAGGTTGTATAATAAACCCCAATCAACCATCGCTACTATTGGTGGTACAGCTGCTGCTGCTGCTGTACCACCGTCAGCTGCTGCTGCTGCTGTAGTACTGTCTGCTGCCGCTGTAGCATCGTCTGCTGCTACTGTAGCACTGTCAGCTGCTGCTGCTGTTGTACCACCGTCAGCTGCTGCTGCTGCTGTTGTAGTACCGTCTGCTGCTGCTGTAGTACCGTCTGCTGCTGCTGTAGCATCGTCTGCTGCTGCTGTAGCATCGTCTGCTGCTGCTGTAGCACTGTCAGCTGCTGCTGCTGCTGCTGCTGTAGCACCGTTGTTGGTGTGGCTTATTGAGAATACCAAGAAACAATTAACCCCAGAGGATTTGCCACCCAGGATAACCCAAAAAAGTCAGTGTCATCGAAGACTGTCTAACTTATTTCCATTGGGATCCTTAATCTTGTCTCCCAGGATGCAACCCACACCAGTCGACTAACACCCAGGTGAACAGGGAAAAATGCCTGGAACTAGTGCTCATATTGGTGAATTTAAAGCCAGCAAAGGTTGGTTTGAGAGATTTAAGAATCGTAGTGGCATACACAGTGTGATAAGGCCTGTTCTGGAAGAAAATGCCAAACAGGACCTACAGTACTCAGGAGGAAAAGGCACTCCCAGGACACAGTGTCTCATCAGTCATTGCTGCATCTTCAATAAAGGTAAGTGTCATTTATTCTTCATTTAGTAGAGTAGTACATGCACAATATATATTGTGCATGTACTACTCTACTATTGTGCATGTATCCTTCTCTTTGTGTGTAGGAAAATGTATATTTCATGTGGTAAAATTTTTTTTATTCATACTTTTGGGTGTCTTGCATGGATTAATTTGATTTCCATTATTTCTTATGGGGAAAATTCATTCGCATACCGATCATTTCTCATAACAATGAGCCCTCTTGCACGGATTAAAATCGCTATGCGGGGGTCCACTGTATATCACTACTCCTATCTATTGAACTTTTCCCTCACAGTGCACCACTCACCCTTTTCCCCCTCATCAATTCTATGATTCACCTCATCCTTCATAGACCCATTTTCTGACATGTCCACTCTTAAATATCTGAATACATTCACCTCCTTACTTTCTCCCTCCAATCTGATATCCAATCTTTCGTCACGTAATCTTTTTTTTATCCTCATCACCTTACTCTTTCCTATACAGTGGAACCTCCACTCACGAGTTTAACCCTTTGACTGTTTCCGACATATAAATACGTCTTACGAGCCAATGTTTCTGACGTATTTATACGCATAAATTCTAGCAGCTTCAAATCAAGCAGGAGAAAGCTGGTAGGCCCACATGTGAGAGAATTTGTCTCCATGGTCAGTGTGCACCATATAAAAAAAATCGGGGAGCCAGTGGTGCATTGTGGGAATGCTATTTCAGTTGTCCTTTTTCAGCATGTCTAGCGGTAAGAAATATGTGATTCCCCAGCAAATCTGGGACTCTTCTCTTCCCAAGTGATGCTCTAACACAGATGGAAGTGTCAGTGAAGATCAATTTCATGATTTGGAGGAGTTTGAGACCAAAAGCAATGGAGGAGGAGGAGGGGAGGAAGAGGAGGAGGAGGAGGAGGAGGAGGAGGAGGAGGAGGGGAGGAAGAGGAGGAGGAGGAGGAGAAGACGAGGAGGAGGAGGAGGAAGAAGAAGAAGAAGAAGATGTAATAATATTGTTCCCTTGAAGCAAGAAAAAAAAAGTCCACCCCATGACAGTGACAAGATAAGGGGAGATAACATCTAAGAGCTGACTTTGATGAGCGTAAATGAGGGTAGAGCTGATAAGGAAATGTTAGATGACCATCGCCCTCCCTTTGTTTTTGCTGGTACACAAACATTTCTGTCTGTCTATTTGTCTGTCTGTCAAGCTCCCTGTCTGTCCATCTAGCTCTTTGTCTCAGAGAGAGCCACAAGACTGTGTCATCACATTTACTCACATCTTCAAGCAGAGTATATTATTATTATTATTATAATCAAGGGGGAAGCGCTAAACCCGGAGGATTATACAGCGCCTGGGGGGGGGATATGTGGAAGGCATTCAGGCTTAATTCGGGGAACTGGAGCACAGATCCAATTCCCTAAATCAAGAGCCCCTCACCAACATCAAGGAACCTTCCTTGAGGGGTTCAAGCAGAGTATAGCACTTTATCTGGATTTCTTGGGTTATCCTAGGTAATTTACACTATGTATACTTGTATTTATGTGTACCTGTGAGACAGAGATAGGCAGACAGATAGAAAGAGAGACAGATTGAAAGATATAGAATGAGGGAGAAAGATAATTAGATAGAATGGAGGAGGGGAAGCAGCATCCGACCCCATTGTTTTGACAGGCAGGAGGGGGAGTGAGTAATGAGACAATATGTCACTTTGACAGCTGCCGACTTCTGACTCAAAACAATTATAAGCCACACACTCGCACACAAGACAAGGAGGAGGAGAAGGAGGAGGAGGAGGAGGAGGAGGAGAAGGAGGAGAAGGAGAAGGAGAAGGAGGAGAAGGAGGAGGAGGAGGAGGAGGAGAAGGAGGAGGAGGAGGAGGAGAAGGAGAAGGAGGAGGAGAAGGAGGAGGAGAAGGAGGAGGAGGAGGAGGAGGAGGAGGAGGAGGAGGAGGAGAAGGAGGAGGAGGAGGAGGATTGTTTGTTTGTTTTTGTAAACAAGTTTTGTAAACAATATATTGATAATTATGTTTGTGTGCTTATTGTGTTGTATACAACGAGTGTATATATGTACATTGCACCTTACTTTGGTCTCATAGGCCACATAAGTTATGTGAAAAAATAAAATAGTGAAAAAAACAAAAAACCTTCAAATACAAGTAAGCTAAAGTTTAACGGGTGAGCAGCAGTCGCCGCTGTTGCC